CTGAAAGGCGAACGTGTGTCCGGCATCGGCGCAGTGTTCGGCCACCAGAGACAAAGGGTCCATTCGCCGTACTGCCCTCATGTGTTCTCCAACACGGGTCTGTAGCCGTTTGCCGGTCTCCCCAATGTAGTTGACTTCGCAGGAGTTACACCGGATCCGGTAGATGACGTTCGTGGTTTCACCTAGTGCCAGAGGGGCCTTAGGTCTCATGACCAGATGTCGAATTGTTGACTCCGGTCGGTGGACGATGCCGATTCCCAGCGGTCTTAAGAGACGCGAGACGGCCTCAGAAACGCCGTCGATGTATGGAAGCGCCCGCCATATTGTTGGTCGTTCTGTCACCAAACGTTGGCTCGGTCCGGCCTGTCGACCGCGTTCGATGAAGTTGCGAGGATACCCTTTGGCCATGAAGAGGCGCTGGAGGTAGCGTAGTTCTGACCTTCTGTCGTCTGGCTCGCTGCAGTGTGTTTCTGCCCTTCTGTAGAGTGTTCGCACACAACTGCGTTTGTGGCCTAACGGGTGCTTACTGTGGAAGCTCAGGATTTGGCGCGTATTAGTGGCCTTCCTATATACCGTCGTTTTAAGGTGCCCATTGGGGTTTCAATGGACGAGAACGTCCAGGAACGGGAGTTGATTGTTGACTTCCGCCTCCATTGTGAACTGGATGTCAGGGAAAACAGAGTTCAGGACATCATGGAATTCCTTGACCATTTTCCGCTTAATGATAACGAAGGTATCATCGACATATCGAGCCCAAAATTTCGGCTTATAGGTTGAGAAAATGAGGGTCTCTACTTTTTGGAGAACTGCCTCTGCGATGAAGCCCGAGAGAGGCGATCCCATTGGCGTCCCCTTAACCTGCTCGTAGGTCGTGCCTTCAAAGGTAAAGTACGTCTTCAGGCAGAGTCTCAGCAATTGGACGAGATGTCTCCTTTTTACCGTCACGTCCGTCTCGTCGTACTGACTCTCGAGCAGCTCGCTGACCGTTTCGATTGCCAGGTCTTGCGGGATCGAGGTGAAAAGAGAGGTGACGTCGAATGACACCATGACCTCGTCTTCGGTAAGTCTCATCCCCGGCTTTGTGTACCTTTGGTAGTCCGTAGAACCTTGGTGCGGCCGCGTCTACTGGCTTAATGGCCAGTCGTACCGATTTACTTATTGCCTTGCTCGTTTGCATGTCGGCGAGTGTCTTGTCCAGTATATACAGAATGTTATTACCGGCAAAGACCAGCGAGACTGGAATGGCCATTTCTGGCTTATTAGCCGTCGTTAGCACGCCATGCCCAATCCTGAAGTGTGGAACACCTGGGGCTCGAACTCGCGACCTGTTAGTTAGAAGTCCACGCCCCTAACCACTGGGCCACGAGTCCGTTGCCCAGTCGGTTTCGATCGGGAATATACAATGACCATTCCAGTCTCCTTTGTCTTTGTCGGTAACAACACTCTGCCTAAATCATGTGCTGCTGTGCGGTTGCTGGTTGGGCTCGAAAGGGAGAGTCCCCAAAACACAACGGAACGAGTGAGTTCCGTAAGAACGATCGGTGAGCGCCCCCCACCATTATATATATTTATATATATTGATTATTGTACCGGGCTTACGAACCTAACCATTGCTCATCAAACGGCAGATAAACTAGTTATCAGTTCTTTTTGATTACTGATTAGTCGCACGGCCTACAGGAACTCTCGTTTGGTGCTCCAATGCCCGAGGGAGTACCCGCAACTCGACCGCTTCCACAAAATCTATTTGAGTGCTTTTTCACTGCGATCCAGTTTGTATGTTCCCTGAATCCAGATCACGACCTTCGGTTTCTGCCTAACTGGACCGTTTATACTCCCTCACACTTATCTAGGTCCAGACGGCCCATATGAATATGGCGGAGGTGTTCAGCGATCTGTCCAGCGAGGTGAATCGGCGCTCACGGCTGACCAACTCCCGATCGGGGCACCATCTTGAGCGGGGGTTTTCGCTATTGCGTGGGCGGGAAAAAGAAGTCGGTGGCTCCTCGGGCGAGTTAAATGTCAATCGAGACTCCGCTGACGAGGATTCCCGGGATGTACAAAAGAATCCGGCCTCCTGGGACAGCAATTTTATATCTCTTTTCGTGGCTTAGACAGCTCTTGTATCTCTTGCATTCACCTGAAACGCTTCCCCCCCCCTCCCCGTTAATCCAATACCACCACAACCTCGCTTTCCTCCGACCTTCACGATAGAGCCGTGTCCCAGACTGTTCGATCAAAGCTCCCATCCCGATGCCAACTGCCATGATCCCTCCACGCTGACTGTGATATGTGTCCGTTGTGTTCCCGTCTTTTCTTGTTGACCGTACTCTTCTTTTTTGCAATTTTGCTTTACGATCAGTCAGGCTTCATTCTTTAAAGAAAGACAAGCTCGTTGGTTGTACAATGGCGTGTTTGCCTGCCTGAGCAGTTCCATGTGGTATAACTTGACTTGTGTATTTTGGCAACTGTTGTATCATTCGGTCCGACCGTACTTGTTTTCAGTCGGTCGTTCCTGTGGATCAAACGACCCAATGGCAGAAATTGCTCATGCGTCCGCTTACTGACACTTGCAGGTTTGGACAGCGTTTGCACACTGTTAATCGTACGCGTGAGAGTCCACCTTAGCCACATGGGAGGGGCGGCATTGGCGAGGTCACGGACTGTGCCGTTGCTGATATTTTGACTGGCCAGTCTGTGCGGGTAATGTCGTTCAGGTACATTTGTTGTGTTAGTGGCAGTGCTCTTCACAGTGCTCCTCGACACTCCCCGCATCCCACCATCATGCGAGAATGGTCTTCACTAATCACCCCTTCGTGGGGCCCTTCCATTTCTCCTTGGGACTTCGACCTGGAGTCACCCTCAGTCAGTAACATAGCGACGAATATTCAGTGGTCGGAAAATGTTGCAGGCCAGAACAAGAGGACTGGAATGACCGCTCCTGATTTTTTTACCATCTTCTGGTCGGTCGGACTAGATGTTCCACCAATAGACCAGCGATCGCAGGGCAGGTGGGCTGCAACCGCGACTATTTGGTTACGTGGTAGTCATCTAGGTCTGAGTGTCAAACATAGCGTCCGACTTGGTTGAGTTTCAATCGTCAGGTTCTAGAGGTCTGGAAATAAGTCGCGACTGCCTGGCTGCAGTAGATACATGGAAAGCATTCATTCCAATTACCTTTCGTTCTTATTAGTAGCACGTCTTGGTCACGTATTGTCGCGTGACCGTCTGCTGGGACCCTAGATCGTAGCCCGAGGACCATTTCAGTAAACACTTTCCTCGGCACTTCAGTTTTTCTCGTCACAACCAACGGAGTGTGACCATCCGCGGCTCGTGTTCTACCATGCCCAATACGACTTTCCTCGACCTTTTAATCCAAACTGTTCTTAGTGTGGCATGTGCCTGACTGGCACCAAGACGGCCTTCCGGGGATCGCCATCACACCAACCCCCTTTCCTCGCTGCCGGCCTCTCGTCCTGAGGACTTGCGCGCCTTGGAATTCACAGCGCCAATAGCATTACAAGCGATATTTTGAACATCCGCAGCTGACCAGACCTGAATACTATTAAGACAAACCCAATTTCAGTCATGGAAGCTCTCACGCTTTATTTTGGTGGGCTGGCCAGTTGAGCAGTTGGGGAATGTCAATTCGGTCGTCAAAGCAGAAGTTTTTATTTGTCTGATGTTTTGGGGCCACCCTTGAACCAATCCAGTAACAGTGTTCTGAACGATTGGATTTCAGAGTTCATGGCCAGGCAACCGTGGCGCTTCTACGTCTTGGATTAATTTCATAATAAATCTCCGTTCCTGACTGACGGTTCTGGGAATACGTTTGCCCTTTATCGGCTCGATCGCACGAAGTCCGTCGAAGTGGCACTAGCTTATCTATCCTGATCACAAGACGAAGATGAGCAGTTTTGTTTTGCCTCAGTATTCAAGCATTGAGACGAGCAATCAATGCTCAAGAAGGGCTGGGTGATGGGTGGCCGGAGACAACCAAATAAGTCAAAAGTGCCCAATCCATTGGCCCTTGTATTTGTCGGCAACAGCTGAATTTCTCCGGGCACTCGAGCCTATTGCTTCAGATGTCACAGACTGAACGCTTTGCATTATATGAGTGTGGTTCGCCTCCAATGGGTCGTGCGGTAGATGCGATTGACCAACACGGGGTCTAGATAAGGGCGCATTATGCTTTAGACGGCCTGCGGCGGTGACAGGCCTGAGCGCAGGGCCATGCCGCGCCAGCCACTTGCACCCAATCCCCGCATCAAACGGCTTTCCGATTCGGACAGCGGACTAGTGCATGGGGAGAGGGAAGGCGGAGTGAGGTTGACTCTGGAAGATCCGTCCTCACAGTATTTCGGCGCAGTTCCTTACTGTAAGCAGTCTGATGTGATTCTAAACTACCGAAATGCGCTAGAAGTAGTGGGTTGGCAGGCCATCATCTGACAGGATACCTCGGTCCTCTCAGGACGGAAAGTCTGACTGCAGTATCTTCTAATGTGGCCTCTGCTACAACCGTCCTCGGATGGGATCCTAGCGGACTACTTGTTTCTGAAAACCTGGTCCGTCGTGCGCGGTCCAGACGTATGTGGTATTTCTGGAGTGGGCTGTTCGACTTCTTCTGTGACTGCGTCTCATCCCGCCTCCGGTCTCCTTGATTCTGTCTTGATACAGGGGTCAGATGTTCTGGAGAGGAGAGGATTCGGCGGATGCAGTGCGAGTCCGCTATTACGATAAACTGGTTCACACGCGTAAGTCGCCGTCCCTGCGTTCATCTTGCTGAGGGGTACGGGGTGGGCATAATCGTTCGTTGGCCTCGTACTGGTATGTTGCAAAGTCACTTATGAGTCAAGTTTTGCTCAGGTGAGAACTTTGGAACAAATGGCCTGTTTATTGCAATTGGAGGTGAGATGGTGGTGGTTCATTTCTACTTCTCAAAGGCGAATGCCTCATTCCCTTAATAAACTGACTTAAAGCGCCTACTGCACTTCTGTCCCGAGACTCCCGTAACTGGTTTTATTTTACAAACCCGGGTTACTTTTAACTGCAAGTAGCAATGAATGTGTGAATTAAACGTGAACAGCCGAGTCATGTTTTATTCGTTAATATCCTTATTGACGGTAGGTCTGTATTTTAAACCCTACCTCTGTTGTATGCCCAAGAGGACCTCAGTTGTTATAAGCCCAGACCTTGGCGGTGGAAGTTTCGCACTGCTCTCCAGACGCAGTCTCCTATGCTGCGCTGCCTTTGATTCTTAGTCACCTCCTAATCCTGATGTGCTCCTAGTTTTCTGAATTTGGCTCCCATCTCCGAACGTGCGCTTTTGCGTTCTGGCGCGCCAGATTTTTCAGACCTGATATGCTCTGCGTTTTAACCAAATGTCGCAGATCGAACTTTCCACGCTTTCTAGTCGATGCCGGAGGCTTGACGCCGACTATTAGATGCTCAGCAGCCGTACGGCTTAACTCCCTTGGTACTCTTCATTCATACGCCTGGCGTACCTCTGGTATGCATTTCCAACAGTCTGACTGGAAGATCTTGCACAATAAGTATTCCGTTACCCGCCCACTCTGTCTTGGGATTTTCACTGTTTCCGCAGACTGCAAATCACTTGTCCTTGTTTTGTATTTATTTAGGCCAGTCTGTTAACCGTCAATATCTTAGCCAACTACCCTCATCAGTGTTCGATGAGAATATTCTGCACGTCATTGCTCTCCACCAGTACTGCATACTGGGATAGCGTTTTGTATTTTGGCTTGTGAGTCAGGCATTATTTTCTTCGTTCCTTTTTCCCTCTGAATTAGCATCTGTCCGCTGTTTTAGTCCTTGTGGTGTGTGCTTAGCAGAAGCTGATGCCGGCGCAAGCCAGCCCGGTTGATCTCCTTTGGTCATGTAATGAGCAACAGCGGAGGAAGTGGTTCTATTGCTTTTTGACCCACACTCACCAGTTTTGACGTCTCAGCATCAGCCAATGTGTGAGGACTCGACATTGCTTGTAGGCCTTACTAGTCCTTTCGCCCTGCGTACATTCGGCTGCCGTCCACTCAACGGTCTGTGTCTCCGCCCTA